GAGTCCAGTGAAGCCAGCAGTGTGTGTCCGTCATCTGATGGTGGCCAACAGACAACACAAACCACTGCAGGTTTAAAAAAAAAAACAAAAAAAACAAAAACAAACAAAAACTAAATAAAACAAAAATATTGGTGGTAATTTTTGACTGTGTAACTTTACAAACGACACGTCAGACTCGTGCTTTTCCAACCTGTGTTGTTTGTTTTATTTAGTTTTTGTTTGTTTTTGTTTTTTTTTTTAAACCTGCAGTGGTTTGTGTTGTCTGTTGGCCACCATCAGATGACGGACACACACTGCTGGCTTCACTGGACTCACACATGCAAAACACTTGAAGCTGTGAAGAAGTCTAATACAGAAAGCAACAAAAAGTCGTGTTCCATGGTTTGATCTTCTGGGTTTTGTTTTGTTTTGTTTTGTTTTGTTTTGTCTGTTGTTATGGTCTGGAGCCATACAGTATTTCTTAGTGTTTGTTTACTTTGTTAGTTTTATTTGATTGAGTTTTTTGGGAGCAGCAGTGCACTTCACAGTATTAGTTGATGRTTGCACAGAAATGTGGGTTTCTGTTACATTTGAATGTCATTTTTGTGAGTTTTTCTTTCTTTGAAACATTTAATCAACGTGAGTTGTGTGATGGTGTATTAGGGCCACGCTGAAGGGAAAAATGAGGTCATTTTTATCAACATTTTGAGATATAAAGTATAAATGTTTAAATTAAAGAGTCAGTTTTATTGACATATAAAGCTGGATGCACTTTCACAAGTTTAACTAGAAAATAACCTGCAGTGTTTGATTTGAAGTGACCCGAGGAGCTGTTTCTGTCAGCACTCACAGAACTGTTTCCAGTTTTTCACAATAAGAGTCTGAAACACAGATACTGAAAACTGACTTGTAAATCCACTGAAAAGGTTTGGTGGTCTGGGCTGCAGAATAATGTAAGCTTTTATATAAGCTTCACAGGTTTACAGACTGCTTTTGTGCTTTTGAAACTCTAATTGTGAAGAATCAAAACAAGTTCCTCGTGCTTCAGCTGAAATGTTTGTTGGGTGTTATTTTGTAGTTAACCCAGCAGAACTGCAGCCATATATAATGAAATAGAAGAAAACCAAATGAAACAAAGACAGGTGGGTTCAGGAGCTCACCAAAGTTCACTTCTTCTAAATTAAATATGGAAAAACAACTTTTTATGTCAGTAATTTATAACTTTAATCTCCTTTTAAATTTCTTCTGAGTGTTCCTAATACGCCATCATAGAACTTTATTTAATTTTTTTTACTTCTTCTCAGCTCGTCATAGTTTTAGGCTTTAATAAAGTTTCATGTCCATTAGAACCAGCTGGTGAGTTGGTGCCAGGCGGCCTTGTGTCGTCCTCACACTGCAGAAACGTTGGAAGGAGACCTGAGCAGGAGGCTGGCACAGGAAACAATCAGCTGCTTTTTGGTCCCATTCAAACATAACATTTGAATTTCTCTTTTCTTTCATTTGCGTTTACAAAGTGTTTTGCCCTCATGGCTCCACATTTGCTGGATTAGTAGGAATTATAGAGTCATCTGTACGACACAGAGCCTCTGATGCATGTAGTGATGAGAGGAACACAACTTATAATCACAATACTGAAGGTTTTCTGTTCTCCCAACAAAATACACATTTCACAGGCGCACACTTATGTCCTGTATTAGTTTACTGTAAGTTTAATATATGTGAGCCATCATATCGAAATGAGGATTAAGTCAAATTTGGTCAAAATGACCTAATTACATTTTCA